GTGGTAGCTCCTTCCAACTTTGTCATTTCGTCCCCTAAGGAGGCCCCGAGGCCCTGACCTGCGGGGGCAGCAGCCCAGTGCAGAGCCAACTCAATGAAGGCCTTTTGCAGTCAGGGTGTGGGAGATAAGTAAGACTGAGGGGGCTCCCAGGCCTGTCGGAGTTCCTCTTGAGCCTGTCCCTTGTTCTGCCCACTCTGCTGCAGGTGACAGCCAGAGGAAAGGGCCAAAATGTTCCATGGCCAAGGAGGAGAGAAGGAATGTCCCCTTTCCAATCTCTGGGTAGGAGGAAGCCTTCAGGGCAGAAGCAAAAGGAATTCTTTCTCCTCTGGACAGGTTTTCCTAACAAAGTAACCTGGAAAACTATGGCAATTAATCAGAGGAAATCCGTACCCCTCCCTCTCCCCCCACCTCCCCACTCCATACACAATTAGGTGGTGTAATGGAAAGCATATAGGGCTTAGAATCAGGAGTCCTGAATTCTAGTCCCAGCCATGCCACTAATTAGTTGTGAGACTTTAAATTGCTTTTCCTTCTGGTGAAAGTCCAGTTCTCGGATGTAAAATGGGGGTGGCTGTGGGGGTAGGGAGGGTTAGAGGAATGTGACCTCCAAGTTTTCTTTCAATTCTAACATTCAATATCACTGGCCAGGCTGGATGCAGTGGCTCACACCTGTAATCCCAGCACTTCCGGAGGCCAAGGTGGGAGGATCCTTTGAGCTCAGAAGTTCAAGACTAGCCTAGGCAACATAGCAAGTTCCCACCTCTACAAAAAATTTAAAAAATCACTGGCCAGAGGTGATACTTCTCTTCCAAGGCATTGCCCACCCCACTCTAGGTTCATTTAGTTTCAATGCTCAAAAATGGTAGTTGAATTTACCTTAATTATGTAATTTCAAGGAAAGCTCCAGACATAAGCGGAGCTTGGAAGACTTAGGAGCCCTCTGATTCTCAGGTGGGCCCATCTGTTATTCTCACTGAGGATGACTATTTACCCCAAGATTGTCATTCAGACCCTAGGACAGCCCTAGAATAGGCGTATCCTGGTTCTAGGACATGTTTCCCATGCCAAAAGCAATTTCTGCTCAGCCCCTCCTCAGGTAGACAGTCTGGTGACCTGACCCTTAGTCACCCCTTTCCCAGCCCTCTTCAGTCTCTTCTTTTTGGCCCACAGAACTTTTCTACAATCAGGTCAGGAGCCAGGCTAAGGGTAAAACCTGTCTGCTGCCTTGCCAGCTCCTGGCCCCCAGCTCACCCCAGCCCTTCCTGCCTGGCTGGGTGGCTGACCCCGGGTCCACGCCTCAGCCATTTCCCGTCTCGCCTGCCGCCATCCTCCTTTCCCCGCCCTTGCTGCCTCTCCCAGCTTCACTCTCACTAGTCAGTCCCCCTCCCCTCCTCATCTCAGACTCTTCCCGTCGGGATCCCTCCTTAACCACTCTGTCCAGCCAGCAAGGATTTTCTTTTTCATTGTTTCTTTCTTTTTTTTCTTTTTTTTTTTTTTCTGGGGCAGGGGGCTGGTGACAAGGGAGATCTTTAAGGCTAAAGTCTCTGTAGGTGAAACTAGACTCACCCTCCTGGGCTGCCATAAGAAAACGGAGGAGCTGGCAGGGCCCTGGCGCAGGTGGGGAGAGGCCCTCCTTACCTCGGTCATCAGGCGGTCGGCGCCACTGTTCTCCTCATCCTTGAAGATGATGTCAGGGTTGTAGTTGGGCACCAGGTCTCGGAAGCGCTCGGAGCCCCTTGCCACCCTTCCCTCGGCTGGCCCACTGGCACCCAGGGTCCGCTCGGGCACGCCGGGCACAAATTGCTTGTACAGTAGCGGCACGAGCTGCTTGCGCACATAGCGGCGCCGGCCAACCGGCCCCCGGCCCGGCCCGCAGCTCTGGGCCGGCAGCGCCAGAAGTGCCAAGCAGCACAGGGGCAGCAGGTTGGCCAGCAGAGCCATGGATACAGCAGACGTGGGCCAAAAGGGAGCGTTCTTGTCCTCACTAACTCTCCTGTCAGTTAGGCATCTCCACAGGCACCAGAGAGGGCAGCAGGCAGAGCTGCCCCCAGAGTGCCCTAGAGCTCTTGTGGTTCCCCGCACCTGCCTGCTGCTAGCTCTGCCCACGTGCCCCCGGGGGGTCTAGGACCTGCTACTGACGGACCATCATAGGAGGGAAGGGGGGTCGTGGGTGAGTGCCAGCCCTGCCCGTCTCTGCTGCAGGACTCTGGTGCTGCCAGAACGCCGGGACTCCGGACTCCGCCTTAAGTGGCCCCTGGCCCCGCCCCCCGCCCTTCTCCCAAGACCGTCCCACCCCCTCCCACCCGGGCAGAGGATCTGACCGGTCACTGTTGGTCCATTTTGCGACTGAAGTGTGTCCCATCCTGGAAACCAGGCAGACACCTGCCTAGGAAATCCTTGTAGCTTTACAGTCCTTGGCTACCTAGATAAACATCCTTTTACCTCCAAGCCTAAACTTGGAACCAAACCACCCTCCTCTGATACTTGGATTGGAATTTTTGCTCTCTCAAAGCCTACCCTGGCAGGCCATGCCCTCCCCTGTCATCCAGGAAGTATGGGTTCCAATTTCTGCTGAAGACCAGCCAAGCCCTTTGGGCATACAACCAGAACCTCCCTTCTCTATGGTCCTTCCCAGACCTCCCCCATTTCCATCTCTCCTCACATTCAGCAGTAACAAGGACTGGGAGGTGAGGATACCAAGGGCCCATTAACTTTACAGTTACAACTCTACAGTCTCTAGAACTCAATTAACTTTACAGTCTCCATTGGAACTCCCCCAGAACCAGGAACAGACCTTGGTACTTAGAGTCTGGTTTAGGACTTCCAACTTTTTCCCCTTCTCTTCTTTGCCAGTCATCTAATAGCTGCTTCTTTTCAAATGAATAACTTGTCAGTTGGAAGCTGCTGAAGGGCAGTGGACACTCAGTCTTCTCAAGAGGTAAGGCTCATTTCCCTTAACCTTCCATCTAGGCACCTCCCCAGCTTTCTCCCTCTCTGGACTCCCGGGGCTCTATTTTCAGCCACTCAGCTCTCAGAGGCACCACATCCAATTTCTATTGTTTAGAAATCATTTCTTCTGGCCTGGTGCAGTGGCTCACATCTGTAATCCCAGCACGTTGGGAGGCTGAGGTGGGCAGATCACGAGGTCAAGAGATCGAGACCATCCTGGCCAACATGGCGAAACCCCCTCTCTACTAAAAATACAAAAATCGGCTGGGCGTGGTGGCGCATGCCTGTAATCCCAGCTACTCGGGAGGCTGAGGCAGGAGAATTGCCTGAACCCGGGAAGCGGAGGTTGCGGTGAGCCAAGATTGCGCCATTACACTCCAGCCTGAGTAACGAGCGAGACTCTGTCTGAAAAAAAAAGTTTTTTTCTTTTTGCAATTCTCCTGCCTCAGCCTCCCAAGTAGCTGGGATTACAGGCACACGCCACCACGCCCAGCTGATTTCTGTATTTTTAGTAGAGACGGGGTTTCACCATGTTGACCAGGACGGTCTCGATCTCTTGACCTCGTAAGCCACCTCGCCCGGCCATGAAAAAACCATTTCTTCTAAGAAGACTTCTGTCCCAACACTGCCCACCTGTGTTCCCTCGGGAACCAGTACTTAACTGCAGTAGTAGAACAGTATTAGACTTATCTGGCACCTTACTAGATGAAGCAGTCTTAAAAATACACATATTGTGTATCTCTAAGGCTAAGTGCCTACTCTACAGAAGGGTGCTCTGCAAGTATTTGTGGAATCTACACTTCTTTCATACTCACCCTCCCCTCACTGAGCTGTATGGCTAGCACTTACAGCAACTCTGTGTACATTAGCAAAAAACAGGCCAGGAACAGTGACTCACTCCTGTAATCCCAAAACTTTGGGAGGCTGAAGCAAAAATTGCTTAAGGCCATGAGTTCCAGACCAACCTGGTCAACGTAGTAGGACCCCGTTTCAAAAAAAAATGTTTTTTAATTAGTAGGGGGTGGTGGTACATGCCTGTAGTCTTAGGTACTCAGGAGGCTGAGGCATGAGGATCACTTGGGTACAACAGTTCAAGGTTGCAGTGAGCTAAGATCATGCTACTGCACTCTCGCCTGGGTGATAGACCCCCCTCCAAAAAAAGATGGCTGGGTGCCATGGCTCACCCCTGTAATCCCATCACTTTGGGAGGCCAAAGCAGGCGGATCGCTTGACCTCAGGAGTTCAGGACCAGTCTAGGCAACATGGCAAAACCCCATCTCTACTAAAAATACAAAAATTAGCCAGGCATGGTGGCATGCGTCTGTAGTCCTAGCTATTCTGGAGCCTGGAGCGGAAGAATGGCTTGAGCCCAGATTTCAGAGGTTGCAGTGAGCTGAGATCACACCACAGCACTCCAGCCGGTGATAGAGCCAGATCTTGTCTCGAAAGCACCCCCCCCACCACTTTTTTTTTTACATCAGTGAAGATTTACAAGAAAACTATCATCCTAACTATCATCACAATGACTATGAGGCGAACAGTGTCCCTGGAAGTTGTGCAATGCAAAATCTATATAAACCGACGTTTTGAGCCCCTACCCCCAACATAGCACATGGGCTCTTCAAGAAACTGATGGCCTCTAGTAAAAAGCTAGGTTCTTCTCTCAGGTAGGAACTGAAAATCCTTGTCAGCCAGCCCCTTATTTTACTCTATATCTACCAGTTAAGCCAGGGAGAACAGGGCTGAAGGTGTGAGTGTACAGGGAGAGGTTATCCTACTCCTATGCCCACGTCCTACCCCCAATACTCAAGGTACAGAAACAAGGCCATGGATATGAGTAGTCAGGGGACAAGCAAGCTTTAAGCAAGGCTGAGGAAGGAGGAGTTTCCACTGCCAAAATGCATGGCCTAACACCCAATCCAAGTCCCCAAAGGATGCTAATATAGATGAAGGGGTAGGAAAAAGATGGTGGGCAGGACCCCTCTTATTTTCTTACTGGGCAGACTCAGGACTAGAAGGAGCAAGGCTGTTCAAATACACACAGAGACAGGTTCTTTAAAAAAACAAAGCAAACCCTGCGATCAACTTTATTGCTGATGGGTGAAGCCTCCTTCTCCTCCCTATGCCCTTGGTCTTTCTGGTGGTCCAAAGCCCCTCCAGGATAGCACAGTGCTTAGGCTCTGCTGGGCCAGAGGCAAGCGAGACAATCCACCCCCACAAGCCTGCCCTGGCCCAGTCCTTCCCCTGCCCCCTCCCACCCTATTGCACATCAGATCATGTAAACATGGCTATGGGCACAGCCCAGAACAGCAATGAGGCAGATTGATGTGTAAACGGATTTGGGACCAGGGCCAGACCCAGTCACCCAGCCCTACCCCATGCTGAGGCCACAGTTAAATATGGAAAAGCAGGGAGTCCTGGTCCTAAACTCTGGCTCAGATTATGCAACAGTGCAGATGGCTCAGTTCCCCTCTGCCACCCACCCTCTCAGATTCCAGGTCCTGCGGCCCAACTACCCTTGGGCTTCCCTCCAGGCCTAGGCAGCAGATGGCAGTGTCCAGCTTTTTCCCTCCCACCCCCAGCTGGAGGTCATTGGTGCTGGGTCTTCCTAGATGCCCGGGGGAAACCGGAGACAGGCAGCGGCAGTCTGTCCAGCCCTGGAGAAGAGAAGGAGATGGGCAGTCAAAAGCAGGTTAAAGGTCCATCCAGTCCATTAGGGACCAGACAACCAAGCCACAGAATGTGTGGATGAGGTACGTTACCCACAAAGCTGGAAGCATACCCTCTCCCCTGCTGAGATGACTCATGATCCAGAGTGTCCTAGATAACTACCACCCCACCACCCTGCACCCTTTCTCCCTCTCACCAAAGGCCCGGATCAGCTCTGCTCGCACAGCGGCAGTGAAGGTCTTCACCAGACAGAGTGTGGTGAGGCCTGCAAAGGCTGCGTTGTAGAGGAACACAATGTAGAAATTGCCCAGCCAGTTGAAGCGTCCAAAGTCACCCAGCAGGTCAAAGCGAGTGAGCCCTGAAGGACAAAGGCCAGGATGAGAGGTGGGCTCCCCAGGCCCTTTTCTGCTACCAGCCCAACTTACTGCTGCCTCCTGGTGGTCATATCTCAACATTGCAACTGATGGGTTGGTCTCTCCCAATTCTACCATTCAAAGCTATCTCAAGTGCAGTACCGGACAGTTCAAAGTGTCAGCAGCTAGGCCTGCTTCAACTTCACTTCCAGAGTCTGCCATCTTCTCCAGAGAGGCCTCCTCTGGCTCCTGGTGTTCCCGGGATCTCCCAGGGCCTACTACTTGTTCCTGGGCCTGGAACAAGCAGGTCATCAACTTTTTTTTTAGTAGACAGACCAGTGTGGTTGCTAAGCACTCAGACTGATCAGGCTGCTTTGGTTCATATCCCAACTCCACCCCTAAATAGCTGTGTGATCTGGGAAAATTCCTTAAATTTTCTGTGCCTCAGTTTCCTAAGAATTAAATGAGACAACACACATAAAGCACTGTCTGTGCCAGGCACTATTCTAACATTTACTGGGCCCTTCATAATAATAATATCATAAATCAAAAAACTCTGCTCCCCACCTTTAAATATTTTTACCTGCATCCAACCTAAAGGAACTAACTGGATGACCCACAAGCCAACTTTCTTACAGATTCCCCCGGCATAACTACAAACGGTAGAGTGTAAAGAATATAACATTAAGAATGAAATAGAGCTGTTTTTTGTTTAATTTGGTTTTGTTTTGAGACAGGGTCTTGCTCTGTTGCCCAGGCTGAAGTGCAGTGGCACAATCTTAGCTCCCTGTAGCCTCAAAGTCCTGGGCCCAAGCAGTCCTCTTGCCTCAGTCTCATACATAGCTAGGACAACAGATGTGTGCTACCACACCTGGCTAATTAAAAAAACTTTTTTTGTAGAGATAAGGTCTCACTATGTTGCTCAGGCTGGTCTAGGACCCCTGGCTTCAAGCAATCCTCCCACCTTGGCCTTCCAAAGTGCTGAGATTACAGGTTTAAGCCAACACGCCCAGCCGCTCTTGAACTTTTTAACCAGGTAATTCTAGATACAGCTCTAAAGGCAGGAAAAGGAATGAATGTATTATCTGACACCACAGTGTATAGAGTAAGCACTAGCCTGGGGTTCAGGAGACATTCTAGACTGACTTGACCTTGCCTCAAACTAGCTGTATAACTCTGGGTCAATCAGGTAGCTTCTCTGTTTATCATCTTTCAAATAGGAACATTTATTGGATTATTCACCCAGGGGAAAGACTTAGAAAAAAGTGTGCTCCCCGACCAAAAGGTAAAGTAAATGAGAGAGGCAGTGGGATGTAGCAAATGTAGAAAGTATGTACTTTGCAGCAACACTACCCTGAAGCTCAGTGTAGGCACTTCAAAGAGCCTCACTTTCCCCAACTGTATAATGGGGATAATACCGACTCTTGGGTTTGTTATGGGAATTAGAGAATGCATGTATATGAAGTGCCTGCTGGCTGGGCGCGGTGGCTCACACCTGTAATCCCAACACTTTGTGGGGCTGAGGCGGATGGATCACCTGAGGTTGGGAGTTTGAGACCAGCCTGACCAACATGGAGAAACCCTATCGCTACTAAAAAAATACAAAATTAGTTGGGCATGGTAGCGCACATCTGTAATCCCAGCTACTTGGGAGGCTGAAGCAGGAGAATTGCTTGAACCCGGAAGGTGGAAGTTGCAGTGAGCTGAAATAGTGCCACTGCACTCCAGCCTGGGCAACAAGAGCAAAACACTGTTTCAGAAAATAAAATAGAATAAAATGCCTGCTTTGCATCAGTAAGTACTCAAAACAATCCAGTTCCCTTATCTCCTCCTTTCGAAACTTACCCAGGGTTCGAGAAAAGACAGGAAGTGCTGAGCTTAGGACCAGGAGACAGACACAGTTCCCAATTATCTGGGTGGAAGTAGGGAAAGGAGAGGTGAGTGTAGAAGAGCTGTGGGCATTGAGTGCCCATCCACACCCCCGGGGTGGCTTCCCCTCCTCTCTCCCAGCTACCTGTGTCATGGTGGTGTCATGCCATCTGGGCCGCAGGCTCCGGAAGAGGGGAGAGCTATAGAACCCCACAACTGAGGACACCATTAGGTAACTGCCACTGCATTAAGGAAGAACTGGCTGGCTTCTAAAGATTAACATCTCATCTCAAGGGGAACAGAGCTCTCTCCCAGCCCACGCTTTTTTTTTTTTTTGAGACAGGGTCTCACTTTGTCACCCAGGCTGGAGTGCAGTGGCACAATTTCAGCTCACTGCAGCCTTGACCTTCTAGGCTCAAGTAATCTTCCCACGTCAGCCTCCTGAGTAGCTGGGGATGTAAGCACGCACAACCACATCTGGCTAATTTTTTGTAAAGACCGGGTTTCATCATGTTGCTCAGGCTGGTCTTGAAATCCTAAACTCAAGCAATCCACCTGCCTTAGCCTCCCAAAGTGCTAGGATTACAGGTGTGAGCCACTGCACCCGGCCTCTTTTATTTTCTTCTGATGAGATTCTACTGAACCACCAGCCCTTCTTTCAAAATTAAGTCTTTTCCTTCTTTCTGAATTGGAGGCTGATGAAGACTTGCCCCATTTCCCATCACTGTTGTTGCTCAGAGTCCCAAAGGAGACAAAGTCCAAGAAGTGCTCTGTCTAGAGTCACAGGAGACAGGTTTGGTGAACAGAGGTAATGATGGGTTTCCAGAAGGATACAAGATGAGTACAACCTGAATAACGGCACCAAAGGAGCCCAGCTTGGAGAAGGAGACCTGGCCTAGGGAGGCACCCTGAGGAATGGAGCAGTGCCACTGTGAGCATTCCCCACCAACAGCAAGCACTACCCAGCACCCAGCCTTCCTGCTGTTCTCAGCTTCTGCCTCCTCTCCCCAGCTATTCTTAGGCCCTCCCCAAAGGATATGGTGGGAGGGCAGCCTGGTACCTGCATGCCTCGGGGCATGGCAGCCTCATCGATGAGCAGCTCCAGGATGTGGATGGCCACAATGAGTACAGACAGGCCCTGTGTGAGGCAAGGTTAGACTCCCATCCCACCCCAGACCATGGCTGGACCCAGAGCTGAAGAAATGGGCAGAGACTCTGGTCCAACATTCTCAGTTTCCAAGACTAGCTCTGCTTCCAAGTGAGCTATGTGGGACCTTGTCAAGGTTGTTATTAGCAGCAGAGTGCCTTCGAGGACATTATAAGATATAACCCTTCTACGTGGAAGGATTGCAAAAAGGCAGAATAGGAAAAGGTACTTCTCTTCAATAAGATCTATTCCTGAGTCCATGGGGGAATAGACTAAATTTCAGTGCTTATTCTCATCCCAGGGCAAACCTGCACAACTACTCCTTGGCCCTGTGTGACCTTGGGTAAGTCACTCAACTCTGTCTCTTCATCTACAAAATGAGGATTAATGTGCTAAGCATAGGCAGGACATAAAAGTAGGCACTCAGTGAGAGGCAACTATTATTAATGATAACCAGGTCCCCACATCGCCTCCCCTCTCCCTGAGAAGGCCTCAAGTACTGAGGGTCCACTCCCCACCTCTAGGGCTGGTATACCCACTGTCAACACCAGCAAGCACAGCATGGCCAGGGGGTAGCCCAGGTTCCGCTGCCAGGCTGAAGCCTTCCGCCGCTTCTCTGTGTAGGGATGGGAAGCTGTCAGCAAGCACCGAGAACCAGGGGCTACTCTCCTTGGGGAAACCCATGTATCCCAAGCCCTACCAACCCACATACCCAGCAGGACCCTCTGTGTCTGCAGAGCCAGGACCTGTCTGTGTAACAGCTCCATGTCTAAAGGCAGCCAGCAGGAAGTAGGATCTGAGGGCAGAGAAGACGGTGTTGCTCCCAAGTCCTGTAGTCTCTCCCCAGGCCAAGCCCACCACCCCAGCAGGGAAGAACTGCAACTCACTACAAATCCTGCGGGTCAGGGCTGCTTCTTCAAAGGCTGAGCAGTACAGCTGCTCCTCCAAGTCTTCCAGCAGCTAGGGGCAGGGGAAAGGAAGAGACTAACTGTCAGAGGCTCCCTGACCCAAAGGCCCCAGGAGAACCCTGTTCCTCCCAGGGCTCCATAGTCCCAGTCCTTCCCCAAAACCTCATTCACCACCTTGTGGCCGACAACTCTGCCCAATCCCTCCCAAATGCCTTGAGTTCTGCCCTGCATGTCTGGTGACCAGCTCTGGATGATAGGGGTACAGGATACAGGAACCAACAAAGGCTGTAGCCCTCTCCAAGTTGTGCACTATACAACCATAGAGTTGTTTCATTGTTTGCTCCAGTTCTGCAGGAAGCTCACCCTGCAGGATCAAAGACCAAGGAATACCACATACCCGGGGCTTGACCAGCAGCTTCCCAGTGACCGAGAACATTCGGGCAAGACCCAGTGGAGTACACACTGTGGGGACAAGAGCCAGTCACCTGCCAGACCCTGCGCTCCACCCCTTCCCTAACATGCCCCTCCATTCCCTCTCCTTCTAGCCTGGTTAGTCTGGCCCAAGGACCCTATCCATTCCCTCCCAGACCCTGTACACTCACCCAGGAGTAGAAGAACCCCAAGGAAGGAGATGCATGAGTAGAGGTAGGGGAGATAATACTCCCAGAAGTCTAAGGATAAAAAGAGAGGCATGTCAGCTCATTTCTCCTTGCTCACTGGGGGCTGACAGGCCTCAGAATCTAAACAAGGGCACAGTCCCCAAAGGGGTTAGGCAAGTAATATAAATGAAGAAAGCTGGCCAACATTAGCAGAAGAGCGAGAGGCAGGACCTATAGTAAACTGGAGATCCTAACCCCGAACAAAAGGGCACAACTGCTATTTGGCCCCCATCACCAGGGACTAATGTAGCCAGATCTTCTCCTTGTCAAGCATAGTTAGATATCGGCATATTAATGTGAAATCTCCCAATTTAAAATGTAAGTAACTAAATAATATATATTTCAAAAACCATTGCATGGGCCCAGTGAAACATTTCTGCAGGTTGGATTTGGCCAGAAGTCTATCAGCTTGAAAGTTCAGTCTTAAGGGAAAAGGTGCCACCTTCTCCACTTTAGAGGGTTACAGTCATTCCAGGCAGGGGGAGATAGGCCAACTGAAGAGTCACACAGCCTGGAGGAAGCTGGGCTGCTCACCATAGAGTGACTCTCTGCTGGCCTTGTTGTTGTCCACAATGGCTAATGCCACCCACACCATACCCAGCACCAGCAGTGTGAGGAGCATCAACATCACCACCGTCTCATAAACACGGCCCAGGACACCCTATGAGAGGAGGCAATAGATGAAGGGGAAAAGGAGGTTAACATCAGGGCAGCGTGGGGAAGGAAGGACATCGGAGATGGCGGATGGCCTGCAGGAACCAGAGATCTGGATTCAGGAGATAAGAGATGGTTTTCCTCTTATTCTGCTGTTGCTGTCTTCCCACTCCCCAGTTAAGGTCACCCCACATACTGGGTGTTCTTCATTTGCATCTCCTTTCCCCAGACCCATTCCTTATGCTCTCTGTTCTGGGAGGCTGACCTCTGAGGTCTGCATCCCACAAGCTCTTTGCCCTCTGGTTTGGCATCCAGGAGAATGGAAAGTAGAAAAGAGGTAAGGGTATGTTTCCTGTGCTTCCTCCCACCTTTGCCACCATGGTTTTGGTGGTGACTATCACTAAGATAACAGCTCCTCTCTGGGTAGCTTCACATCCCTGGCTTCAGCTATTGGGAGGTTCTAGAAACCATTTCCTCCCTTTGTCCCTAGAGGCCTAAAGGTGGAAATAACTTCCTGCTGTCACTAGAGCCTCAAACTTCCTTTAACTAAAACTCTGCAAATAGCCTCTTTATTAAAATCTCTTCAGTTGAACTATGTGAAAGGAATTCCATTTCCTGCCTGGATACATATCCCTACTTACCTTTCTGGAGCCAGCAAAGCCCTCGGACTCAGTGAAGAAATATGCAAAGGGCATAAGGAAGATGAGGGATAGGTTGGAGAAGAGAAAAACAAGGTTCCAGAGGCCTAGAACAAAAAAGGAAAAGAAGAGGTGATCAGTAAGGGGAGAGGCAACCCATAGGAGACTGACCATTTGCAGAAGCAGAAAGGTGTAACATATGACTGATTGACCCAGGACTGCCTGAGTCTATTCGCTCTCTGCTCCCTATCCCCACCCCAGGCCACCTCCAGGAACCACACACCATGGATGAGGGAGCCGTTGAGCCACTGGATGTAGTAGTTCCGAGGCAGGGAGAGCAGCACCTCATTGCTGATGATGGAGAAGGGCAGGAGCAGGACAGCACCCAGGGCAACTGCCAGGGTAAAGGTGCACAGCTCAAGCCTGGGCAGAGAAAGGGAGAGTGTCCTTGCTTAGCTCAGGACTCACTACCCTGTGCTGGAGAAGCCCCATTTGCCCTGAGGGCACCTGTGGCTTTGAGAACCAGCTATAGCAATGACAGAGCAATGGAAGGAGCTGTCCAGCTGGGGTTCTACCCACTGCCGCCCCTCCCTAGTCCTTTACCTCCAGGTAAGCCGGAGCACATGGGATGGGCAGAGCCTCAGGCATTCATGGGAACCTGGTCACCTGCCATGACACATGCCTAGGCTGTCCCAGGAATGTGGTCCTCCTATAGATGCCAGGTATGTAGGTTATGCCAGGTATGATTCCAAAGCTAGGGGGCCTGGCTTCTCTTCTTTGCTCAGGGATATGGATTTTTTTTTTTTTTTGAGATGGAGTCCCGCTCTGTCACCAGGCTGGAGTGCAGTGGCGCAATCTTGGCTCACTGCAACCTGTCTCCTGGGTTCAAGCAATTCTCCTGCCTCAGCCTCCCAAGTAGCTGGGACTACAGGTGCATATCACCACGCCCAGCTAATTTTTGTAATTTTAGTAGAGACAGCGTTTCACCATGTTGGCCAGGATGGTCTTGATCTCTTGACCTCATGATCTGCTCGCCTCAGCCTCCCAAAGTGCTGGGATTACAGGCGTGAGCCACCGTGCCCAGCCTAGGTATATGAATTTCTGAGCTTGCCTCTTTTAGACCAGATAAGCACAGGTTCATCCCATATGGCTATGCCCTGCACAAAGGCACGAGGGCAAAGGAGGAAAAGGAGAAACTGAAACCTATCTTCATAGCCAAGGCTATGCCCAGGGCTGCATCCACTGAAGAGGGGCACTTCTATCTCATTGGTCCATCAAGGGTGGAGGACCGCCTTCTGATCTATTGACTTGGAGGAGTCATCACTCTCTCATTCTCTGTATGTGCTAGTGAACATTAGCAGCCTGGAATGAGCCTTCCTCTCAGACCAAGCATGCCCCTCCCTCAGGGGTTCCCACCTTCCCCACACCCTGCTCTTTTTCCATCAATCTGCATCCCCACTCCATTCCCTCCCTACTGGCTGCTGGGAGTTGAAGCCAAGCTGGAGCCATTTTCAGTGACTCAGGCCCCAGCTGACGCTCCTGGCCATGAGTCTCCCAGAAGCTCCTGGCCTAACCAGGGAGACAGGAACAGCAGCTTTTCTGAGCGTCCCCAGGATGAGGTAAAGCCAGAAGAAGCAAGAAATGGGGTGGAAGCAGAAACTCTCTCTTCACTGTGTGTGACTTCCCTCTTCTCCCTCCAGCTCCAGGGCCTCCCTGGATCCCAGTTCCTAAAGACCACTGGTGTCAGTTGCTGAGGCAGGGACACTTACGCAATCTTGTTGACTGTGGCATCTTCATCATCCACTATAAGAGACAGAGGCATGGGGAAGAGGCAGGACATCAGTGGACACCTCTGAGGCCATCTGTATTACAATGTGCTCCCCACCCCATCCCTGCCCCCTGAAAGAAGGCAGAGCTAAACAGGAGGCTCCGGAAGGCCACACATTATGAACCCCATAGCCTGTTCTCCAGCCAAGGTGGCAGCTTAAAAAGCAGTGGTCCCAGGTGGAGAGAATATAGGCCAGATATTCCTATACGTCTTTCCTCCTCCCTAGATCTCATCCATCACAGGTTCCTCTTTATAGCTCAAAGTATTAATATAATAAACAATTATTGGCTTGTTATATCAGTGGCTGGGTCCAGGAAAGGGAAAAGAGAGGAAGGAGAAGGACAGATTCACAGAGAAAGTCCCCAGGGGAATTACTTTAGGGTAACTGCCTTGTTGAGTAGGGACTCATCCTGAGCCATCATGAGAGAAGGAAAGGCTGGGGCTAGGAAATGGGGCAAGTGTGCCCCCACTCCCAATTACACAATGTCCAGGGAAGGAAAGCTGCAATCTGAGCATACTCAGCCTCCCCATAAAGAGAAAGGCCACCATCACCAGGTGTCCCAGTCATCAGGGAGGTCTCTGGTCCCGGCTATGGGAACACCAGGAAAGGAGACGACATAGAACCTGTGCCCATAATGACATTCGCCTGGCAGTTGCCCACTTCAGGTTCACAAAGGGCTTTCACATTAACCGTCTCCTTTGGTCCACACAATGGAGTAGGTAGACATTGTAGTATAACACTGAGGATCAAAAATATTACATGACTTGCCCAGCAGACACTTCCACCTAGCTGCCCTCCCCAGTGACTGTGTAGGAAGGGACACTGAAGAGGCAAAGACTCCAGAACAGCCCCACTCAGCCGCTGCTCCTTTCCCAGTGGACACCATAGGCCCATTCCCCTGAGGCTGGCCCATGGCAACAAGGACTCTGGAAGAAGGGAGGGAAGTCACAGTACCTGTGGTGAATTCAGCAGGCTTCTTGAAGCGGGTCAGGAAGATATGGCAGAGGAGGTACAGTGTTGCAAACAGAAGTGTTGAGATCTGTGGCAGAATGTGAGCTAGGATGAGAAGCTCTAACCTTCAGCATACTCCACAGCCCCAAGAGCCTTTCTGTTAATTCCATGGCATCAATTCCTCAAGATAAGGCTCCATACTTCCAGGAGTTCCATCGGAGCCTTATCTTGAGGCTTTGATCCCAGAGATTTCCCAGGTACCTCCTTCTAGTCAGGGCCCCAGGGGCCTCTAAGACAGGCCAGACAGGGGCTGCCCCATGCACCTGGGGAAATAGCACCATACCCAGCCCTGCAAGGACTTTTCTGGGAGAAAACAGCTTCAGCCCAACTCTGGTTGGTAAATGGGTAAAAGAAAACTCCTAGATATGCACAATGCACACTTATCTAAAACCGGCTACAGAACCGGAGGGAATTTACTCTGAGCACACTATTGGAAAGGGAAGCAGGTGTGAGGGGAGGAAGATGTCTGAATTGTCCTGGCACCCCATTGCTACCACACCCTCCTACCTCCACCCACACTGCTGCCTTGACCCAAAGTAGGTGTCATGTTTCTAGACCAAGTCACAACTTCTATGCCATGCTTATCCAGGGACCCTGAAAGATCAGGTCTGCTCTGCACCAAACCAGAGCCTCATTTAATCCTCTACCCCTAAATGGGCTTTAGTTGGGGCCCAACATCTACAACGTTTCTAGAGCTGGCTGGACTGCCAAGTGACAGTGATGGCAGAACTTGGCCAGGTTAATCTGCATATTCATTCCTACCCTACCCCAGGTAAGCTGCTACTGCCCAGAGGAAGACCCATTGGCCAGCTTGGCTCTAATCAAGACCAGAGAATATTGGCCGGACATAGTGGCTCATGCCTGTAATCCCAGCACTTTGAGAGGCCAAGGCAGGTGGATCACTTGAGGTCAAGAGTTCGAGACAAGCCTGACCAACATGATGAAACCCTGTCTCTACTAAAAATATAAAAATTAGCTGGATGTGGTGGTGGAGGCCTGTAATCTCAGCTACTCGGGAGTCTGAAGCACGAGAATCACTAGAACCTGGGAGGTGGAGGTTGCAGTGAGCAGAGATCACACCACTGCACTCCAGCCTGGGTGACAGAGTGAGACTAGGTCTCAAAAAAAATCCAGAGAGTCTCAAGAAGAGAAGTTATTGTGTTTGAATAGGCCAAGAGGACAGGGTCAGTTTCATGGGTCTTCCCATCTCCAAAAAGGGCTGACCCCACAGGGAATCCACATACAGCTATCTACACAAGGAGGGAAGAATCCACAGAGACGCAGGAGAACCATCGACGTGGAACAAAGTCATAGCTTTTGACATTAAGGAAATAGAATAGAAGGAGCCACTCAGGGCAGGGCGCGATGGCTCACGCCTGTAATCCCAGCACTTTGGGAGGTCAAGGTAGGTGGATCACGAGGTCAGGAGTTTGAGACCAGCCTGGCCAATATGGTGAAACCCCATATCTACTAAAAATACAAAAATTAGCCAGGCATGGTGGTGTATGCCTATAGTCCCAGCTACTTGGGAGGATGAGGAAGAAGAATCGCTTGAACCTGGGAAGCAGAGGTTGCAGAGAGCTGAGATTGCACCACTGCACTCCAGCCTGGGCGACAGAGTGACAGACTGAGACTCCGTCTCAAAAATAAATGAATGAATAAATAAATAAATAAAGGAGCCACTCAGATTGTAGCTGCAGGATTAGCCTGTGTTCTGCCCTGGGCTTGCGTAATAGCTGGGAAGGTGGGAGGGCTCAAAAGGTCATGCTGAAGTTCCACGCAGTTACAGAGGAGGCTAAGTTGTTCTCTAGCCTCCTTATGAGAGCCAGGTGGGGGAGGCACCAGAAGTCTCCAGGCTGCCCTTAGCCAGCTCGAGGGACTAAAGGAATGGGGGAGACATCCAGGAGGCTGCTTCTGTCCAAGGTCTCATCCCTCCCTGTTCTCTAGGAATGTAAGCCTCTGGCCCAACACTGTCTCAAGGCCAAGGTGTGCCTCTGCAATATGCCCAACCCACCATGTGGACTGTCCACCAAGGAACACACGAGGAAGGCTTGCCAAAAGCATACTTCTACTAGAGTTGCACACGCAGACTAATATACTTTCCAGTCCTCACAGATAAGAGCAGACCTAATTATGTCCTGGCTCAATTTACCCCTCCTCCTATCAGGCTGCCCAGGGCTGGCTAGAGCCCAGCCTGAGAAAAATGAAGGGAATGACCCCAACACTGGGTTCCCCCACTTATTAATATTTCTTTCTGTTTTTCCAAACCAATCCCTTTCCATTTAGTATTTGGGGATGAGGGTTGCCCCGGGGAGCTCTGGGAAACGAAACAGAGAAGAAACCAGAGAAGTGAGAATTCAAAGCAAGGCTGAGGACTCCCTAAGCTCCACTGGGTACTCCTACCCCAGAAGTGGAGTCCACTTCTGTGCGGCAGGTTCAGCTGTCGCTTTAAGTGGCAGGGAGGGCGTAAGGAAGAGCAACCAGGTACCTTCTGAAGCACAGGGAGGACCACTGACCCGGGAAACCCTGGAATGGCTGGGAGGCTGGGAACCCAGTCTTGCAGGGTTTCAAACAAACACTAATGAGAAAGAAAAAAGACGGGGGGAGAACTTGGTTGTTCCTCATCTCTACATATTAGAATCTACCCCAGTAAGAGTCCTTTCTTCCAAAGCAGGAGACGACCCAATTCCCCAGATTTCTCACAGCTGCCATCCCTACGTCTCTCGTCTTTTCTGGAATCAAGCTCAATGTAACGACGTCTCCCCTTCGTCCAATGTCAGCTGGGTTTGCTCTCAATTCAGTTTGAGTGCAAGTAAAGTCATCCCTCCTCCAGTATCAGACTAGGGCGGACTCCGCAGGCCCTCAGACTCCGGAGACCCCCGACAGGAAGACGCGCGGGGTGAGTGGTGGGAGGGAAGGCCGGGGGAGGGGCGTGTGGGGAGGAACGGAAACGGCGGCCTTTGTTTACCGCGCAGGGACCCAGTCGATCCCATCTGGGGGTTCGCCAGCCGGGCACCCGCCCTTCTGCCCAGACTGAGGCCTCTGTCGCCCGCCGCTGGTCCAGGCAGAGTTTGACGGCGCTCTGAAGCTCGGACACCAACCCCCCTTCTCCCGCAACCGCCGCTTCTCCCCGCCGGGGTCCCGCACTCACAATGCACTCGCGGACCCTCTCGTGAAAGAGCTGTTCTCGCACCGATAGCACTTCGTAGTCAGCTGCTTCCATACTCTGCTCAGCATGACTGGAGTAGGGGTGCCTCCGGGCCCGGGGAGGACAAGCGGGGAGGAAGCCGCCGCCGCCGCCGCCGCCGCCGAACACCCGGACCCAGCCTAGGAGCCTTTCCTCGCAGCCTGCGACAGAAACTCGGAGCGGTCTGGGGCTCCGACACAGTCATCCACACGCCCCGCCCTTAAAGGGGCAGGCACCACCCGCCTCGTTTTAAGTGCTCGGGCGTCCTTTTGCTCCCTCCCCTTTAAGGTAGGTCCGCCATCAAGTTTCAACGCAAACACCCGCCGCTAGGCTCGCTACAGGGAAGCGCCGCTGAGGTTCCGTCTTTTTAAGAGATTGAGTGACGACACAAGAGATGGGCGGGTTCCTTCCAGGGGGAGGAACTCATTGGCTCCTGGAGAGCTGCCGCTCATCGCTGGAAGAGCGTTGATAGGCTCGCTCCGTGAAGGAAGGTGGGATCTTGTGAGCTTACGGCTGCTCATACTAAAATTGAGGCACTGCCTTTCTCATCTCGAAAAGTGACGGTTCCTGGGTTTCAGTAGCAGCTGGTATTTTAGTTTGACCTTGGTTAAATGAACCATTTGGATCAGTCCAGCCAGGCAGGATGTGAGGGCACCCTAGGGGTTCTGAAAAGTACCGCTGCCCAGTAACCCATGGTAGCAGTATTTTCTGTGTGTTTGTGTTGGGGTGCTCCTCCCCACACCCTCACTCTGCCTTTCTGCCGCCAGGAGTTTTCAATCATTTTTGTGGAAGGCCTAGTGTGTGCTAGATCAAATACTGAAAAATACTGGATAGAGATCTGCAGAAATATTCTGGAACTTTGTGAAGAAGTGCCCACAAGGATCGTTGAAGAGTGGGGCTGAGTCAAACATTAGCTAACCACTTGCTATATGCCATTCACCTTATAGTCTTTATCTCAGCCATGTTACCCAGGCTGATCTGGAACTCCTAGCATCAAAGTGTTGGCCCTCCCAAAGTACTGAGATCACAGGTGTGACCCACCCAGCCCATTATCTCATTTTTAACATGGCGACGACCCTTCAGAGGAAGGTATTGTGATTTGGCTTTTTTTTTTTTTTTTTTTTTTTTGAGTCGGAGTTTTGCTCTTGTTGCCCAGATTGTAGTGCAATGTTGCAATCTCGGCTCACTGCAACCTCTGCCTCCTGGGTTCAAGTGATTCTCCTGTCCCAGCCTCCCGAAGAGCTGAGATTACAGGCATGCGCCACCATGGTCATCTAATTTTGTATTTTTAGTAGAGACAGGATTTCACCATGTTGATCAGGCTGGTCTCGAACTCCCGACCTCAGGTGATCCGCCTGTCTCGGCCTCCCAAAGTGCTGGGATTATAGGCGTGAGCCACCGCGCCCGGCCGTGATTTGACTTTTACTTATTCATGTTCTAGAGACATTTTTGCTGCATTGCCCAGGCTGTAGCACAGTGGCTATTCACAGGGGCAACCATGGCACACTGTAGTCTCCATCACCTGAACTCAAGCGATCCTCCTGCCAGGGCCTCCGGAGTAGCTGGGACTACACATGTGTGCTACCAATCCTGGCTTTGCACATGCCCAAGTTCACACATTTAAGGAATGCAAATTACCTTCCTGTGGCCTTGGTACCTGTACTGTTTAGGAAGTCCCACTGTCATGGAATTGAACCTTCTCTCTAAATTGGAGGGGATTATTGGAAAGAAGAAAAAAAATCCCCACTGATGCTTGAAAATAAAATTAAGTGGCCAGGCGTGGTGGCTCACGCCCATAATCCAAGCACTTTGGAGGCCAAGGCAGGCGGATCACCTGAGGT